CCACCCCCACAACCACCTAACCCCCCCTCATCCCTGAAACCCACCACCACCCAAACCCCTCCCTCATCCCTTGAAACCCATCACCGCCCAACCCCACCACCACCACCCCTACACCTAAAATCCATAACCACCACCAAAGCAGAAAAAGGTTGACATAGGAAGAGAGAGAGAAAGGGGGGGGGAGATCTAAAAAAAAAAAGAAGTGGAGACTTTTTTATATACTTAAATAAGAAAATTCATTTTTTGTTAATAAGGAAGATCGAAGTCAAGATCTCATTAAATCTCCTTTTGAGCAGTGCTTTTGTTTTTGTTTTTTTTTTGATGTTTCAAAAACATCATTTTTGATGTTTTTATATTTTAGTCTTATTTTCAAAACAGAGCAGTTTAAAAAAAATGAAAACATTCACTAAAAGTTTTTTTTTTTGTTTTTTTTGCCATAAAATGAAAAAAAAAAAAAAAAACCAAAAACAAAAAGACTAGGATACCAAACGACACCTTCCTAACTGTAGGTGACCAATGTTGCTTCTAGTCGTTAATGAGGCTATATGCAGTCTCAGACTCTGAGTTGGTCTTATTACTTGAAATTGAAAAAAACATTGGTCTTCTTCTCTGTCTATGGCCTTCACATGAATTCAACCAGTCTAGAAGTTTCCCTTCTCGCCTGCAATAATGGTTTACTATAAGTTGAAGGATCACTATGAACTTATATGGGTCATGTTTTGATTTTTACCCATTTTTAGAATCCTTGTACTCGATAAATTGCAAAGAGGGTGATGAGTGCACGAAAGTGCATTCTATATACCATATTATTGGATTAAAATGTTAAAATGTGAGTAAAAATAATTACATATAATTTATATTATTGAATTTAATATCTATTCACACTGAGATATATTTGAGCATGATTTTTATAACATTTTAAATTTTAAATATTGTATTATTGGTTAGTGAGAGATAATTTATAAATGGGCTTTATAATTAATATTTCTAGAACTTTATTATTTGATTTTTATATTTATTTTTATTGCAGCTACATGGAGTAAAATAGCTGAAACTGATACATCTTTCACGTGGACCCGGTACTCATAATTTTCATTGGGTTATCTCTTTCTCAAATTATACAAGGGTTGGGTTTTAGGGGCTGAGACAGAAAAGCTGGAATAAAAAAGGGTTGAAATGAAAAGAGCTAGAATAAAGAAGCGAAGGAAATGTAATTTTCAAAAAGGAGTTTGACTTTAAAACCTATTCTATTTCTTTGGTACTGGGCGGCTGTGATTTTTTTCTTTTCCTCGTGCTGGGCGGGTGAACGAACAAAGGGGAAGCGGACAGAGCAGAAAAACTCCGATGGCCGCTGGTTTGCTTTATTTCTTTGGAAGATTTTTGTTGTCCATTATATTTATGGTAACTAAATTTATAAGGTAGGGCGAGGGATAAACTTGCATAATAGATAGTATTTTATTTATTTTTAATTTATACATTTGATTTCTAATTAGTAAAATTCTTTTGTTTTATCATTTTGAATTTATTGTTGATGTTTTATTCTTCGAATAGTCATAGAATCTATTTTGTTTATGGATTCAGTCATGATTTTTCTATTGAATGGATTAACTCTTTGATTATGTTTGGATCAATTATTTATCTATATTGATTTAATTTTTTGCTGCAATATTGCTTCTTGAGTATATTATCGTCGTTGAATTTTTTCAATAGTGATAATAGTTTACGTATTTTCAAAATGGTGAATGATTTTTCAAAGAGTTACATGTTGTTTAATCTTGGTTTATAAATCTACATCTTCCGGTTGAGAATTTTATGAATTGAATTCTCAATTGAGTTATTTAATGAATTAAGAATAATTAAAATATTAGATTTGTGCAAGGAATTCCTGACGCTTTACTGTTTGTCAAATTTGAATACTTCTTTTTCCTTTAGTCATTTTGCTTTACTTTAAATTGCATTTAAAATTAATCTTTGTTCTCCAGTAACCATTTAATATTTTTCTTTAATTTTTTTGTTCTTTCTACTATTCTTTTAATTTGTCTCTCTATTGAATTGACACTCTAAAGCTGTACTACAACTACCGCATTATTCTTTGGACGTAATCAAATTTGGGCGCCGTTGTCGGGGAGACAGTAAAAGAATTGCTAGATAGTTTTTCTTTTCAACAATTTGCAAAGGCGGTTCGTTTCTTCTTTTAGCTTCTGCATTGTTATTATTTTTATTATTATTATTATTTATCTTCTTTCGTTTTTTTATAGTATTTTTATTCTTTTAGTATTTTATTGCCTTGCATGCACAAATATAGAGACGCCTTGGATATATTTGCTTGTAGGCCTGTGGTAGAATTAGATTTAGATTTTTTAAATCCTTAATTTGACAATCCATCGAGTCTCGAAAAAATGGGTGAACACAAAGATCAACCCATTAGAACTCTTCATGATTACCTCCACCCTACACGCACAGCCACACCATCATGCATCATGTTTCCAGCTAATACTCGCCAACTTGATTTTAAAATAGTGA